CTTTATCTAATGCCTACTCTTCCAGTAGGTTTCCACTTACATGTCTCTCCCTTAGACAGGCCTTTTGTGACCCTCTCAAATAGGCTATTTATAAACACCCTGTATTTTTCTGCAGAGCCCATATGACGATTCACAATTATATATCTATTTGTGATCTTTTCGTCCTCTTCATAGCTTAGAAGCACCATTATTAACTACCTCTTCAAATCTACTAAAAGTTTATCTTCTGACCGAGGCCTTTCTTGATCCTATCTAGAATTTCAATCCTGTACTCCTATCTCCCTTCCTTTGCTCTAGCTTCCTGCCTTCCTCACAATACTACTTACAGGCCTCTAGTAATCTATACAACTTGCATAACGATAGGTATTAATTTTTGTTTTTCTCCCCACACTAGTTGTAAACTCTATAAAGATTTCTTGCCCCTTGATGTGTTCCAATGCCTAGCACAAGATAGGAATTGATAACTATCTGTTGAATGAATGAGGGGCTGTATCTGTTTTTGCTCCACACTATATTCCAAACAAATCCATTTTTGTGGAACTAAAGTTCAGGTAACATAAAATCTAAGATGAATCCTAGCCAGTTTGGCTCAATGGATAGGTTGTCGGCCTGCAAACTGAAGGGTCCCAGGTTTAATTCTGGTCAAGGGCACATGCCAGGGTTGCAGGCTAGATCCCCAGTGGAGGTCATGCAGGAGGCAGCCAATCATTCTTGATGTTTCTATCCCTATCCTTGTCTCCCTCTCCCTTCCTCTCTGAAATCAATATATATAAAATAAAACCTAAAATGAAAAAAAAATGGAGCACAGCACCATGAGCACCTTGGGACCTTGTATTTTGTTTATGAATGAATTCTGCTGAATGAAAGCTTTCAGATGAAAAAGCATATTTAATTTGAAATCTAGAAACTGGCACTCATCTTTTAAAATTTTTGTTTGTTTTGTTAAAGCACACAGTTAATATCTTTGTTCTCTTTCTTCAGATTCTAATAAGTTTTAAAAGATAATACCAAGTGGAAGCTGCATGAGAGGGAACACCATATCCAAGTTCTTCCCTGGTGTCAGCTGATGTCCAGCCCTCTTTTTGGTAGTTAGCTGGAGCTGAGTAATTTAGAAATAAATGACCAACCTACCCATTGAAGTGACAGCTCGGAACATCAGTGGGAGGCTGGGCAGTGCCATGCATTAGTGGGAAAAGCTGGGGGCTTGGGCTCATCACGGGGGTAAGCTGCAGTCCTGGTTCTATTATCTGACAAAACCTGACAATTTCCCTGGGCCTATTTCTTCATCTGGCAAGTGAGGGGATGAAATTAGATGAGCCACTTCACTTCCATTGTACAAGACGTAGGCTCCATGCAGCCAGACACTGCATCTGTCTTTCCCACTGGCGTGAAAACTAGGCCTAGAACAGTATGTCTGGCAAACAATAGGCCCTCAAGAATTTGTGGCAGATCCTTAACAATTCCTCCCAGTGCTAACATTTTAAAGAAAAAGATAACGTTGAGGTATCCCAAATAAATTATTCTTTTTCTAAAATAAACCATATACTGATTATCATCATCTTAAATACCCCAGCGCCTGGTACAAATCAAGCCCGGCTGCCTGCCTGTTTCTTCCTGGTGAGCTGGTCACAGTTCTACATCTTCACTAGGACCTCCTGGGTTTGTTAATATTTTTATATGAATAATCATATCTCTATAATGAGCACTGTATTGGAAACCTTTTAGCTCTGAATCTGAGAACATCAAAACTCCCGAGGAACTACCCATTTCCATTGTACAACTTCCTACTGGTTCCAGTCTTGGCTGTCCTTCCTTCTCTGTCATTATGTAGTTTCCAGGGCAGAAGGACCGCTTTCTTTTTTTCCCACCCCCTTCCTTCCTCACCCAACCTCCGCCTTCCCCCGTCTCCCACATCCGTGGCTTTGTGAGAGGCCCGGGAGAGGTCGACTCCCCCACGACAGGGACTGGGACTGGGACGGGGACGCTTTGCATCTTTTGCTAGAAATGCGCTCTCGGGTGGGATGGCAACCACCTTCTCCACCTTATACCGGGGACCGCTCCTGGGGAGTGAACCTGGGTGTTTACATTTGTTTTCCAGCCCCGAAGCTGCTGTGGGAATGGATTGGTTCTCTCGCGCCCTCGACGCCCCAAGGTCCAGCCCAGCTAGCGGCCCGGCCCCCGCCCCCTGGCGCAGCCATCTGTTTTGCTGTCTGTCTCCCGGTCTCTCTCGCCCAGCATCTCTTTCCCCTCCAACACCTCCTCCCCGCTCCCCTCCCGCTCCGCCCCTTCCCCCTCCCCCCAGCCCGGGGATCCAAACCATCCCCGACCGACCGTTGCCAAGGAGACCAGCCGATACCAGGCAAATAGGCATTCGAGAAAGAAAAGGGGGGGAAAGCTACACCGCAGCCTAGTAACAAAGGAGCAATAACAGGGGCCCCCGAATGGAGGGCTTAGGACGTGTCCGCAAGAAAACCCGAAAGCGAGCTAGCAATCCCTTGCAAAGCTGACACCGGGAGAGGGGTGCAGGAGAAGAGGGGGTGATTTTTGTTGGGGGTGGAGGGGGAGAAACCAACAGCCCTAAATGAGCTTTTTGGGAATCGCCTGGATGGTGTGGTTTTGGATCATCCCAGTTTGCTTTTCGAGTTGGAACTCCGCGGACACGGGGGGATCCGGGTCCATCGTGGTCCATCGCGGCGGCTGGGGTCTGGGATCAGATGCTAACATATTTGGCAGCACACACGTCCAGAGGCCCGTCTTCCCAGCAGCTCCGGGCAATCTGGCTTCGTGAGTGGACGGTGCCTCTGAAGGAAGTGGACAGTGAGAAGAGGAAGCTTCATGCAACGATGCCATTTGCTGGTTTTTCAAAGCAGTCCTTGAACAAAGACTTGTTGGCTTGAACCCACCATCTCTTTCACTCAAAAGCGTGACCCATTTCCCTGCAATGAGCAGGAAATAAAACTGGGAGCTCAGAGCCAGCCAGCGCCAGCAGAAATGACCCTCGACTGCTGCTCAACTCCACCAGTGAAACATCATCCGTTCCAGGGTCACTCACTCCGTGTACACGAGCAGAGGCGGTCTTGATGTGGACACGAGAGAAAACTTTGGGAGCAAACATTGCAGGGGTAGGAAGGAGGAGAAGGCTCATCAGGCTGTAGCCTTGATTCTCGCCCCGCCCCCACCCCGTTCTTCAAATCAGTGCCTGGTGTTTTCACACATAGAGAGATAGCGTCTGGCACTTCGGTGGCCAGGGGTGCAGAGGGGAGGACCCTGCGTCCCCTGATAGGAGCTTTTGCTGCAACACGAGTTACTCTTGGAACGTTCGGGGGTTTTCTTGCTATCTCTCCACAGACAGTTTCTCCTTGGAACTGGAAGCCCCTATCCGGTTGTTTAGAATGTCATGGCTCCTGCCTCCCTCCCCCCCCCCCTCCCTCCCTCCCTGCCTGGAGTACACACTCGCTTGCGTGCATATTCACACACGTTCAGAAATAGAGTCCATCGCATCCTGGCAGTTGGGCTGAAAATGATTCCTATCGACACACATTGCATCCCAACAGTAAATATGGATCCGTGCGCTCGAGACTGGCTCCTTTCACCGTAGAGGGAAATTGTCGTTTCATATAGTGACAAAATGCGAACCGTTTTTGATCTTTTGTAAATGGATATATATATATATATATATATATATATATATATATATATATATATATATAGTTTATGTGTGGGGGGGGGCCGGGAATCACTAATTGGTGATTGCCAGAGAAGGGGCACTTGATGAGCGCCGCAGACCAATCTCGAAATATCTCGTTTCATGCCAGCGTGGGAGAGGGAAGGGAAGGGAGTGTGGCTTCGGCTGCCTCGGCTGCTCGCCGCTTTTGCGTTTCCCACATCTGGCCTACAGACCTAATTCCAACTCGCGATCTCGTTTGATGAAATTCGATCTTCGTAGTTTAAATGCCTTTCAATTTGGGGCGATTTAACGTTTGCAACCGTTAAAAAAAAAAACAAACCAAACCGTGTGCAGTATCTGTGAAACCAATATGGACCACGGAGAAAGAAAACATGCTGCACACACATCCCAACCATTGTCTTTAACACACGCGCGCGCGCACACACATACATACACACACACACACACACACACACACACACACACACACACGCACACTGAGATGGGGGAGGGGAAGGAGTGGAAGGAGACAGACGCGGATATAGACCGACCGGAGTCAAAGCGAGTCAAGTTAACGCTGTCCCCGCCCCCGTCCACAAGCGCCCCCCTCCCGCGCTGATCATTACAGACAAAGCACGCCGATCGAGCGATGCGTTGTTTCCAGCAGGGGTGTAGGCGCGAACCACGTATTTTTTAAACTGATTTATTTTATTTGAAGGACATTAATTCCCGATCCGAGACTGATATTCAAATCGCTTGCAAAGCGCGGCTCCATTGTTCGCCCGGCGCGCAGGCCCCGCCCCCGGCTTTGTGTGCTGCGCGCGGATTGGCCGGCGCGCGCGGGGGCCGCGTCAGCGCCCGGGAGCCCATTCATCTGTGCACTTGGGCGTTGGACCCCGCATCTTATTAGCAACCGGGGAGATTTCTCCATTTTCCTCTTGTCTACAGTGCGGCTACAAATCTGGGATTTTTTATTACTTATTTTTTTTTTAAAAAGAAACTACACTTGGGCTCCTTTTTTTTTTGTGCTCGACTTTTTCCACCCTTTCCCCTCCCTTCCTGAGCTGCTGCCTTTTTTTTTGATCTCTTCGATTTAAACATTTTTTTATCCGGAGTGTATTTAATCGGTTCTGTTCTGTCCTCTTCGCCACCCCCACTCCCCCCTCCCTCCGGTGTGTGTGGTGCCGCCGCCGCTGCTGCTGCTGCCGCCGCCGCCGCCGCCGCTGCTGCCGCCGCTACTGCTGCTGCTGCCGCTGCTCGCCCCGTCGTTACACCAGCTCGAGGCTCTTTGTTCCCCTCGGATCTGTGGAGTTTCTTTGTTGAAGGAGCCAGCATGGGTGCCCAGTTCTCCAAGACCGCCGCGAAGGGAGAAGCTGCCGCCGAGAGGCCCGGGGAGGCGGCCGTGGCCTCGTCGCCTTCCAAAGCCAACGGGCAGGTAAAATCCTACCTGGGAGGATGCCGCTTGGCTCTTTGATGTCTTTCTCTCGGCCCCGACGCTTCCCCTTTCCTCCCGGCCGCTCCCGGGGCGCCTTCGGCGGAGGGGAGCGTGGCTGGATTCCAGCCTTGAAAGTTGAAAGGAAAGCGATCGCCTAAATGGCCCATTTCTCCCAGGGAGAGGTCTCCCCCGGGGGCCCCCCAAAGGAGTGGTTCCCAGAGTGGAATCCTGGCGAATTCTTGTGTAGACGGGAGGAAAGAAGTGGTGTGTTTTTTTTTTTTAATCGTCTAAAAATGGCGTGTTTGGAGCTTTGGCAGAACGTGACTAGCTAGATGCTAACCCCCCACCACCAGCGGCACCCCCAGCCAGGTTGCATTGGCGTGTTTGCTGGACACAAAGGTGTTGGTTGGGGTGGCTCTCGCGTTTGTGGTCGAGATGGGGTCGCCCTCCAGGTTTCTGGACGGGTGTGATCGTGTGCACGGGCTGGGGAAAGGGGTGGGGGTTGGGGTGGGGGCGCGCCTCGGGATGGCGGTGGAGAGAAGGCGAGGAGGGAGGGAAGCGCTGGCTTATTGTGTGCCAGGCGGCGCGCCCCGGGTTCTTGGAAAGGCGGCTGGCCGCCCGGCCGGGGCTCCGCGGAGGGGTTCTCCGGCTTTCGATGGGGCTTTCCCCTGCTCTGGGTCTCTGAATCTTGACTCCTTGACTGCCTGGACTCACACACCCATTTGATTTTCTTAAATGGTGTCCCCGGGATGGGGAGGATCTCTGTGGGCGCTTGGAGAGCCGGGGCAGGTAGTCAGGAAAAAAAGGCAATGGGCGTGTTTCGGCCGGGCTGTTCGTGTGCGCGGCTCCTCTGCCCGGACCCGGGCGCGTGGCCACGGCTGGGTGGACGCAGGAGGTCGGGCCACGGGTGGCTGCTTCGCCAACCCCGGGCACCCCCCACCACCACCACGCCTCTTTTCCTAGAGCGGAGAGGCCGCGCCGCTTCGCCTGCTCTAACCAACCTCCTGGGGAAGGCAAGCTCTTGCCAAGAGGCTCGGAGCCCGTTAAAAATGCAAAATGAGCCGCGCCCCGGCATCGCAGAATCGCGGGCGCGCAGGCGGGAGTGTGGGAGCCGAGGCGAAGCTTTAGAAATAATGTGTTTTGCCACCCCACCCCACACCCCCCACCCCCTACCCCCAACCCCCTTTGCCTGGTTGGTTTGCATTTCAACCCAAGATGACGACGGCAAAGCCACCTGAGCTTTGTTTGCGGACTCTCAGCTGCGCGATCCGGGCTCGGGGGCGCCCCGGCCAGCCGGCAGGGCCCGCGGGCTCGGCGGCCCCGCCCCTCCGGGCTCCTCGCCGCCGGCGCCCAGCCCGGTGCGGTGGAGGCGCAGCGCCCCCTGCCGGCCCCGGCCCCGCGCGCCCCTCCGGGCCTTTGCGCGCGCAGCCCGGGCGTTGCTGGCTGCTGGGGCGCGGATCCCCCTGGGAGGCAGCTCTGGGGTGTTTTCCAGGGCCCGTGGGGGGTTTTGGAGAGAAATGGGGATGTGTTATTTGGACGCAGGCCCCCACCCCCGCCTCTGGCGCGGGGTCCGCTTGCAAAGGGCGTTTGGCGGATCATGCATTGGGTGGATCGTGCATTGGGCGTTTGGCGGATCGTGCATTGCGTGGCTGCTCTCCATCCAAGCCCGCGGGGCCCGGCCCGGGCTGGGCTGGGCTGCCCCTGACTCTCCACGTTGTAGGCTCGGCCCTTGTGAGCTGGGGCGCCTGCTGCGCCTTTAGCCGCCCCAAATGGCACTGTCCGCATTCCTCCCCGGAGAGCCAGCCTGGGCCTCGGATCCCGCCTCCCCATCCAGGGATGAGGGCCCCGGGGGGGAGCTGGCTCTGCCCGGGCCCGGGGTGGGGGCGCCCGGGCCGCCGCACTGACGCTCCCGCGCTTTCTGCTCCGCAGGAGAACGGCCACGTGAAGGTGAACGGCGACGCGTCGCCCGCGGCCGCCGAGCCGGGCGCCAAGGAGGAGCTGCAGGCCAATGGCAGCGCCCCGGCCGCCGACAAGGAGGAGCCCGCCGCCTCGGGCAGCGGGGCGGCGTCGCCCGCCGCGGCCGAGAAAGAGGAGCCCTCGGCCGCCGCCGCCGCCCCGGAGGCCGGGGCCGGGGCCAGCCTCGCCGACAAGGAGGCCCCCGCGGAGGGCGAGGCCGCAGAGCCCGGCTCGCCCTCGGCCGCGGAGGGGGAAGCGGCGTCGGCCGCCTCCTCCACGTCGTCGCCCAAAGCCGAGGACGGCGCCACGCCCTCGCCCAGCAACGAGACCCCGAAAAAAAAAAAGAAGCGCTTCTCCTTCAAGAAGTCTTTCAAGCTGAGCGGCTTCTCCTTCAAGAAGAACAAGAAGGAGGCGGGCGAGGGCGCTGAGGCCGAGGGCGCGGCCGGCGCCTCCGCCACCGACGGCGGCAAGGACGAGGCGGCGGCGGGGGGCGCCGAGGCGGGCGCGGCGGCGGGGGAGCCGGCGGGGGCGCCGGGCGAGGAGGCGGCGGCGGCCGCCGCGGGCGAGGAGGGGGCGGCGGCGGGCGGCGACGCGCAGGAGGCCAAGCCTGAGGAGGCCGCGGCCGCCGCCGTCGCGCCCGAGAAGCCGGCGGCCAGCAGCGAGGAGGCCAAGGCCGCGGAGGAGCCCGCCAAGGCCGCGGAGAAGGCGGAGGAGGCCGCGGCCTGCGAGGCGCCCTCGGCCGCGGGCCCCGGCGCGGCCCCGGAGGCCCCCGCGGAGGAGGCGGCCGCCGCCGGCGCGGCCTCGGCGGCCAGCGCAGCCCCGTCCCTGGAGGCCCAGCCCGAGTGCAGTCCGGAGGCCCCCCCGGCGGAGGCGGCAGAGTAAAGATAAAAAAAAATAAAAAGGGCAGGATTTTTTCTGAGATAATCGAAGAACTTTTCTCCTCCCCCCCTTGTTTGTTTGTTGGAGTGGTGCCAGGTACTGGTTTTGGAAGAACTTGTCTACAACCAGGGATTGATTTTAAAAGATGTCATTTTTGTTTTTGTTTTTTTTTTCTCCTTTTTTTGTTTTTTAAAGCAGCCAATTTTGTTCCCCCCTCCCCCTCCTCCCCACAGATCCCATCTCAAAGCATTCTGTTGCCACCATTCCAACAGGTCGAGGAGAGCTTACCACACCTTCCTCTGCCTTGTTTCTTTCTTTTTTTATTTTTATTTTTTATTTTTGCATCAGTATTAATGTCTTTTGCATACTTTGCATCTTTTTATTCAAAAAATGTAAACTTTGTCAATCTATGGACATGCCCATATATGAAGGAGATGGGTGGGTCAAAAAGGGATAGATATCCGATGAAGTGATAGGGGCCCAATGGGGAAATGTCAGTGGTGCATAGCATTGCCAAGACACTGTACCACTACAGATGATGGTGTAAAGGCTTAGGGTTTTTTGTTTTTGTTTTCTTTTTTTTTTCTTTTTTTTTAAGAAAAGTTATTAGGATGTATTTTGTGAGGCAAGTTTACAACACTACAAGTCTTGACTAAGGAAAGAGAAAACACCAATACTCAGATTTTTAAAAAAGATTATAGTCTTAGGCGTTCATTTAAACCATAGGAACTTTTCACTTATCTCATGTTAGCTGTACCAGTCAGTGATTAAGTAGAACTACAAGTTGTATAGGCTTATTGTTTATTGCTGGTTTATGACCTTAATAAAGTGTAATTATGTATTACCAGCAGGGTGTTTTTAACTGTGACTATTGTATAAAAACAAATCTTGATATCCCAGAAGCACATGAAGTTTGCAACTTTCCACCCTGCCCATTTTTGTAAAACTGCAGTCATCTTGGACCTTTTAAACACAAATTTTAAACTCAAAACAAAGCTGTGATAAGTGGAATGGTTACTGTTTATACTGTGGTATGTTTTTGATTACAGCAGACAATGCTTTCTTTTCCAGTCGTCTTTGAGAATAAAGGAAAAAAAAAAAAACCTTCAGATGCAATGGTTTTGTGTAGCATCTTGTCTATCATGTTTTGTAAATACTGGAGAAGCTTTGACCAATTTGACTTAGAGATGGAATGTAACTTTGCTTACAAAAATTGCTATTAAACTCCTGCTTAAGGTGTTCTAATTTTCTGTGAGCACACTAAAAGCAAAAAATAAATGTGAATAAAATGTACAAATTTGTTGTGTTTCTTTATGTTCTGGTAAAATACAGAGATTTCTAGGTTTTAGGATAATTTTGAGGAAGATCTTGCATGTCAGCAAACAGTAAATTATCTTGTGGTTTTTAATCTGAAGTTTTTAAACTCTGAAATTAATAATCAGCAGTGTCAGATTACATACAGGAAGATCTTAAAACATTCCATGTCAAATCTGTTACCATTTATCTGCATTTAGTTTTCATTTAAAAATTGAACAGTTATTTTTATCGTAGTTATATAGCATGTCAGAATAAGTCATTTAATACAAAAGTATGGGACCGAAGACAATTTAAATGTCTGTGGAAATTTCATAAAACAATCTTTTTGTTACACAGATCCAGAAACTTAAATTGATAATGACTGAGTCCATTTAATTCACACTGCAGATGGGTCATGAAAAGGGGCCAGATGTGTTTCAAAAATTGATGCTGTATTACCTGCCATTGTAATTGCTTAATGCTTGGCTGATTTCCAAATTATTGCATAGATTATGTGTTATACCTTAGGAAAACAGGCTTATGTAAAGAAGTATGGTGATGAATGGACAACGCTGTCAGTTGATGGGCCTAAGTACTTGTCTCAATTCAATAACTGTAAGCAGTTCTTTTAATGAAAGTAGTGCATTAGCATCTTGTTACTCAAAGGAGAAGGTAGAGAATAATAATTATATAGTAATAATCCTTACTAGTTTACCTCCTTTGCTTTTACCACCTTATAACTGGATTTCTTTACCCTAAACTCAGTTGGATGTTAAGATAAAGATGTGTATCAATTACCATTACTTAAATACAAAGAACACTTGTTTACGCACACTGGCTTTACTACCTTGCAGTGTGCCTTGGGTTCACAGTAAGTCGGTGAACCACATTTGTAACAACTGAATGCCAAATCTTAAACTCCTAACTAATTAGTTTTTGATATGCTTTTTAATTGGAATAATGGATCAAATAATAGTTCATGACTACGCATCAAACTCCTTCCCCACTAATAAGATCACATAATGTTTGGAAGCGTGTACCTGAGTTGGGGTTTCTTGATTTTGGAGGATGTTTGAAAGTTCAAAGTCAAATGTGGTGACCAAAGGACTGCTGTATCAGGTCTTGCCCACCTTACTAACTTTTTCTTAAACATCTGCGTGGCCAAGTACAGTGCCTGGTATGTGGTAGGATTCAGAAAAAGGATTTTAAAAAGTAACTCCTGAGTAGTCAAAAATATTGTGTAGTCAACTATATTGCTAGGTTTACTCTTTTAACAGCTGGAATTTATTAAGATGCGTTATTTTTATTTTAATCATTGCCTAAAACACTTTGGGTGGTATTGATGGAGTGGTGGGTTTTCCACCAAGTGATTAAATGAGATTTGACATATATCTTTTCATCCAAAGTTTTGTACATCACATTGTTTTCTAATGGAAAAAAAAATGTTAATATGGCTTTTTTTGTATTACTAAACATAGCTTTGAGATTAAGGAAAAATAAATAACTCTTGTACAGTTCAGTATTGTCTATTAAATCTGTATTGGTAGTATGTATAATGACATTTGCTATGGTTATAAAATACTTCCTCTGGATTATAATAATCATTTGATCCAATTCCTATTGCTTGTAAAATAAAGTTTTACCAATTGATATAATAAAGCTTGCTAAAATAGGATTTTTTACAAATTTAATTTTAAAATGCAAGTTTTAGAGAAAAGTTAAATCTTAAGTGCTGATGGTAAGTGTAACTTTCTCAGTTAAGGAATTTAGAAGGTATGCTTGGCATAATTTGGACATAAAACATCCATTGAAGCTGAGTTACATGCTCACAAATAAAAAAATTTTAACAATGGTGCTTAATATATTTGAGAAACAATGAAACTTGCTTATATTTTTTCCCCTCTCGAATATAAAGATAAGTTTCCATTAAGGTTAGGGATTTGGGAGAAGGGTGCTTTTGGCATTCATACATTTTCAGTAGATCCAATTGACAGTGGGATATAGTTAACAGCTTTTGAAAATTAAAAAAAAAAAGTAGTTAAGTAATCTTTTCTTTAATTATTCACTCTGCAAATTGAGCACTTTCTTTCCTCTCCACTTCTCAGCTGTATGAAAGTGCTTAGAGCAGGGTGTAGCTCACAGATATTTTACAAGGCTTCCAATCTATAAATGGTGTAGTCCCTCCTGGGGATTGAAGTCTGAGCACTCCTTTAAATTACACCCAGCAATGCTATTTTAAAAATGGAAAACATTTTTTAAAAGGTGAATGTTAACTATATTTTAGGTTACTACTGAATTTCTGATCCGAGATACTGACTACAATTCTCAACATGAACTTTTAAGACAAAACAAAAATATCCACCCTCAAGATTTAGCAGCTGCAAATATATAAATTAATTGTTAGAAAATTCTAGAGATCCCCATAATCACACTTTCAGTGCTTTGATTAAATTAGAGCATAAGCCTTTTTAATACTGGTAATTGAGAACAGACTGTCAGTTGCTGCTATTACAACTCTTGTATTTGGGGAAAGGTGAAGGCAACAGGACTACTCATCACTTACGATTTCAGTAAATATGGCAAATCTCAGATTGTCTTCCTAACAAGTTGGCAAGTGTTCCCTAGATTTGACATGTGAATTAAGGACTGGATACAGTGCTAGAACTCTGGTCCTAGGTAATTGGTGGGGGAGGGGACAAGAAGAGGGAAGGAATTCTCAGGGAGAGGTATAAATTGGAAGTCTAAGAAAGCCATCAAAGCAAGTCTTGGACACAAATAAAATTTGGAACACACCATCCAATAGAAATATATGCAAGACATAATTTTAAAACATTTTTTTAGTGATCACATTTTTAAAAAACAATCTGTATCCAAAATACTTAAATGTATAACCAATACGAATATTACTGAGATATTCTGCCCTTTTCTTACCAAGTTTTTGAAATCCAGTGTATTTTATACTTCCATCTCAGTTTGGACCAGCTACATTTCAAGTGCTCATTGTTCACATGTGGCTACCACCTTGGAGAGCACCGTTCGAGAACTAGAGATAGTGGAGGAGTGAGTGGGAATGGTAGAACACACACTGTTTGCAAAGAGCAGCTTGTGTAATTAATTTCATGAACTTCAAGGATTTAACTTTTGAGCCAAGATTGACTTTTAAAATTTTAAACCTTTTAAGCGTATGATATTGATATTACAAATAAATATAGTGAGATTCTGAATAGACTTGTTATGGGCTGAAAATTATGTCCCCGCTTAGTCCACATTGAAGTCTTAACCATAGTACCTTAGAATGTGACTGCATTGGAGACAAGGCCTTTGAAGAGCTGATCAAGTTGAAATAAGGCTGCTAGAATGAGCACTGATCCAATCTGACTGCTGGCCTTATAAAAAAGAAAAAGGGGGGGGGGCACAGAGACACCAGGGGCTCACCCACATAGAGAAAGGACCATGAGAGGACTCAGCAAAAAGGTGGCCCCCACAAGCCTTAGGAGAGAGGCCTCAGGAGACACCAAACCTCTCAGCACCTTGAATTTGGACTTCTGGCTCCAGAACTGTGGGAAAACCGTTGTTTAAGCCACCCGGTATGTAGTATTTTATTATGGCTGCCTAGCAAACTCTTCCACGACTCTAGGGTAAGAATGGAAAAGTGGACTGTCCTTACCTGAGGATGTAAAGAATTTTACAGGCTTGCTTTTTCTCCT